CAAGTGTGTTGAAGTTGGCGGTCGTCAATTTGATCAATTGTTATATTTTTTGAGGTATTTTTGGTAACCTTTCTCTACTTTTCGATTTTGTGAGGAAGAAAAAAAAAATTATTCGTTCTTTTTTATCAGCTTAAATTAAAACCGGATTGAAAAATGCTTCAAGTAAAAGTTACTTGTTTTTTTTCTGTAGAATAAGATTCTGTAATAAAAAAATATATTTCCACTGAAAAAAAAAGAGTTGACCTTGAAATAACCTTGAAAACGTTGTCAAAGTCAAAAATCAGTACCGCCATTTTGTTTCCCACATGATGCCATGTAACTTTTATTTGAACTTTTTTTTTCAAAAACGCACCGTTTTCGAGATATTAGACTGTCTCAAGTTAAATGGACCACCCTGTATAGGCATGCTGACTCTAGTTGTCCTAACATAATGCTATCTGACCATGTCCGTCATGTTTTTTATCAAATAAACAATTGATTGAGAAATTTTCAGCTGTCGTGAAACTCTTTCATCGCGATTAATTTTTTGCACATTCAAAGGTGCGTGGGCGTAGCTTGTCCCGCTACCTCACTTGCTGACTCGAGTATAGTTATATGCATCACAAATACAAACTTATATTACATTTTCAGCTTTCATGAAACTCTTGCACTTTTTTGGCGCTAGCTCTTGGACTAAATGTAGTAAAGAGAGATGAAAATAAAGTAGGGAATGCATGTTTCAAAATACCCCGACAAAAATGCCTCAACGAAAGTTACAATACGTCAGATGGACTTTAGAGAGGCCTGGAAGCGTGAAATATGGCCTGTAGGTTCACTTGTGTCACAGTTTTTTCAAAAAAGGAGGACTCTACAAAGAGAAGGACAGATAGATCCTGAGCCTCATGTCTAGCTCAAAATAGTCAAGCTATAAGTGCTATAACGCCCCAGGTACCTGATAAAGAACTACAAGTTAGCACGATGGAAATAACAGGAAAATATCTTGATGCAGTGCATATCAATGTACGATCAATGTGCAACAAGTTTGGAGATATCAGGACATTTGTTGGAATGTCAGACTATAAAGTTGTGGCTATATCGGAAACATGGCTCAACTCAACACATGATTCTGCAGATTTTAGAATATAGGGGTACACTCTATTTCGTAAGGACAGAATACAACGTGGAGGAGGTGTTGCGCTCTACTGTGATGTCTTACCTGAAATTACACAGGGCTGTGATATATCTATGTTTAATCATGGGTGATTTTAATATTAATGTAGCTGGTAGGACCTCAACAAAATGTATATATTTTATGAATCTTATAAATAGGCCGAATTTGTTCCAAATAATTGAAGTTCCTACAAGAATTACCTAAAATGCTGCATCTGTGATAGATCTTGTTCTGGTAAATAAACCCGAGTTAATTATAGATAGTGGGGTAGCCGAATGTGTTCCAATAGCATCTGATCATGAGGCTAATTTCTGTAAACTTAATTGTGATGTCCCTTTAAGTGTGAGTGGCTTTGAGTATAGAAATTTCAATGGTATTAATTTAGAGAATTTTGAATGTGATTTGCAGCAGGTAGATTGGACCCCTGTATATAGGGAAGTTAACGTAAATGTAAAGGTAAGCATGTTTAACAATGTCTTACTTGATTTGTTTGATAAACACTGCCCGCTGCAAACGAAAAGAATGGGTAAATCTAGACCCCCGTGGCTTACATATAACCTTAAAAAAATGATACACACAAAAAATAAAGCTTATCGAACCTATAAAAAAACCAGAACTAATGAACACAAAATATATTATCTTGAGCTTAAAGCCCATGTAGCAAAAGCTGTTCAAAATGAAAAAAAAGGCATATTATTGTAGTCAAATTAATATATGTAAAAACAAAAATGGTGGTAGGGATTTTTGCAGTAGAATGAAGAGCTGGAAAATTATGGATTCTCCAAATCTTTCAATTCCAGATGAAATAAATGACGCAAACTTAATCAACACACATTTCTTGACTAGTACACCTAAATTGGCGATTGACCCTCAAATTCTCAGAAATTTCGACTCCGAGTTAATGCAGTTTGGGCCATTTAAGTTCAGTTTAGTAGCAGCAGATGACATTTTCTCAAATATAAACAGCATAAAAAGCAATGCCACTGGTATAGATCAGATTTCACTTAGGATGCTAAAAATGCGTATATCCTGCTGTCTCAACCCATTAACTAACATAATTAATAATTGCTTAGAAACAGGAGTCATCCCCGATATTTGGAAGATTGCCTTGGTTACACCTATTCCAAAGAGTCCAAATCCATCATTAAGTGATCTTAGGCCTATTAGCATACTGCCAGTTCAATTCTTGAAAAAATTGTGAAAGAGCAATTGAATAAATTCATAGATAAATACAGTATTATTCCTATTTGCCAGTCGGGTTTTTGCAGTGGGCATAGCTGTGAGACAGCACTGCTTAAGGTCACTAGTGACATAGCTGGGAGTATCGATCAGGGCGGGTGTTGCCCAGCAGTGCTGATCGATATGACTAAGGCATTTGATTCTTGAATTGTTAATTGCAAAACTTAAATATTATAGGATAGAAAATAAAGGCTTCTTTGCAAACTATCTGTGCAACCGGAGGCAGGCTGTTCGATTGAGAGATGAAAATGGTGTAACAATCTCTGATTTCTTAAAAATAAATCCAGGGGTGCCGCAGGGGTCCATACTGGGTCCCTTGCTTTTCATAATTTTTACAGCTGATATTCAAGCTCGCATCAAAAATAGTTTTTATCATCTATATGCCGTAGATCTACAGGTTTATCTCCCAAGCAAGCAGTCTAGCCTTCCTGAAACCTTGGACAGAATTAATAGTGACTTGGATGCAATTTCAAGTTGGGCACAGTGTAATTATCTTTTTGTAAATCCTGTCAAGACAAAAGCCATTCTTTTTTCCAAATTAAAAATTGACAAGGATTATTTAAATGTTAGAGTTGATAATGTGATCATTAGCTGGAGTGATGAAGTGAGGAATCTTGGTTTATATATGAATGAATATATGAGTTTTGATAATCATGTAAATAACATCTGTCGACGAGCATTTTATAGGCTTAAAATGATGTATGAATATAGGAATCTTTTGCCCACACAAACAAAAAATATTCTCACTGACTCTATGGTTCTGTCAATACCAAATTATCTCAATTGTGTATATGGACCTTATTTGACAGCATATAATAGATACCCAATACAAAAAATACAGAACTGTTGTGTCAGATGTTAAATGCCTGCCTTGCAGGGAGCATGTTAGCCAGCATATTGTTGAAGTATATAAAACAAAAATGGATCAGAGATGTCTTATACACATGTGTAACTTAGTGCATAAGATTTTGGGTACTGGAATACCAGTATATTTATTTAATATGATTGAGCGTCATAGTGATATTCATGAGCTAAATACACGAAATCGAAATCTCATAAATATTCCAAAGCATAATACAGAGTTTTTCAAAGCAGCTTTTCCATACTGGGCTGCGAAAGCGTATAACATGCTACCTGCTGAGATTTCCATGTTCAAAACAATTTGAGCTTTGGGATAAAACTCAGAGAATATGTCTGTAATAATAATTTGTCGCTATAGAATAGCTTTACTGCTATGGCTGTGTGTAGGTTCTAGGTTGTAAGGTTCTAGATTAGGTGAGTGTAAGCTAACATTGCTAACAAACGCGTTTAGCGTCCTTGTACTCTTTAGTCGATTTCGTCACGTTTTTGTTGGTAGGTAAATTGGTTAACAGCTAGGTAGGCTCTTCGTCACACCAGTGACGTCACATACCATTTTCAGCCGAAATCGGCCGGTTTGTCAAATGTCACGTATATGATATGATAGTGATGGCATGCCTGAGAAAAGGAAAATAAACAAACTACTGAATACTTTTCATTGTTGGAAATTGAAATTGGGAATAGTGGAAATTAATTGTGTTTATTTGTTGTGTTAAATTTTAAATATAAACAAAAAAGTGAGGTTAAATTACTCCAAATGAGAGATAGCAAGCTACTAATTCAAATAACCGTGCTCCAAGCTCAGTACCCAATTTGACATACCAAAATAGATACCAAAGTTATCGTGACGTCATTGTTTTTCGTGCCGAAATTGGTTGGTATATTTTTGACCAACCAAAGTGGGTTACCAAAATGTGGCGAAATCGTCTTTTGTGATTTATGCGATAAATGATTATTTATTTTTATTTATTTTATTTATTTGGATTCTACGTAAAATTCTGAGCAAATTTCATATAATATATCCTATACCTAAGTTCAACTGTTTTGGAAGTATTGACAATTGAAAATTGACTTTTTGCAACTTTGACAGGCTGTAAAACCTGGGCCGGTATTCTCGTTCTCGAAAACGCTCACCGCTTTTCAGTCGCTCGGCACTTTCAATGTAAATTTGCATTTAAAGTGCCGGGCGACTAGAAAGCGGTGAGCGTTTTTGAGAACCAGAATACCGGCCCTGAACGGTTAATTTTACAGCAAAACCGATTTTACATTCTTATCTTAGATTTTCATGAACTATCATTTGACACGACATCGCGATGTTGCCGCCGCTTCTTTACTTCCCCGAGAAAAATATAGTAGCTTTGTTACAACATAGTAATTTGGCAACACAGGTAAAATAGGCTTTTCTAAGTGAATCCATTTTAGAAGGGCTCGGTAGAAATATTCATTTATGCTTGTCACCTCCGTCAGAAATTAATTTTTAAAGAGAATATCTAATAGTTTTGAAGGATGAAGTCTAATCTGAAAAATGTACTAAAACACAAACTAATGGAGGTAAAAAAAATGGTATCTAAAATTGAAATTTTGAAAACAAATTGAGGTAACTTCTTACCAATTCCGTTAGCTGGAAAAAACATCATAATATAACAAGACAAATACGAAAACTACATAGAAATATTGTTGTTTTTTTTTACCAGTATACACATACACAAAATTAGGTGCACTTTTTAGCATACTTATATCAAAATTTGCCTACCTTTGAAACGGCTTGAAGGAAAGCTGCTTTGCCCACCTTTTGTCTTTGTTTATTCATTGCCATTTCCATACGCCGTTTCTCGCTTTCAATGTGCCGACGTTTTTCTTCTAATTTTAACCTAAAAGTAAATAACAAAATTTAAACTGCAGCATTATTTATTGACAAACAGTTTTTACCTAATATCATTTATTTGCGAATTCATAATATTGCCAGAGCCGCCAATATCCGAACCGTTACTGCTGTCATCTTGCGATTGCACGTTGCTGCTGACCACTTGCTGTTGCCACGTCGTCTGATTCGGCAGGGTGGCGAAGGAAGTTCTCTTTTCCGCATTCCCGTTCGTGTTGCCCAATCGATTCAGGAAACTTGATTTCGAAGGAGGAAATTCTTCCTTGTCGTTCATATAAATTAGGTGTATTCCTTTATTTTCACCTAAAAATCATAAGTCACTTGAAACATCTCAGAAGTATATCACTTCCGTCCAAAAGCAATAACGTTAAGTATTGGATTTTCTGATTTTTGGACCTGCATTAAGGTTACTGACAATTTTAAAATGTTTAGTTTTAGGCAAGAATTGAAGTGAGTCAACTCTCAGCCTTGCTTGTTATTTATGTTTGACTCTGCTCATCTTTGTAACACATAAACCTCTAGAATAACACTAGATTACAAAAAGTTTACCTATAGGTTTCTGTTTTCCCAAATCGGCAAAACTCATACGGTTGCCCACTTCGCCGTCCACCAAATCTTTGAGCAAGTTCTTGTCTTGGAATTTCTTCAGAGTAATATCGTCGCTGCTCATCTGTCTTTTGAGTCGCACCTTTTCCGATCCGTCATCTTGTTTTTCTTCACAGCCATTATCGTAACCTAATTGAAAGGAACCGCGGGCGTCCTGCAACGTTGACCGTACCGGAGCGTTTTCTATTGGTACTGGGAAACTGGGTGCCGATATTTTTCTACCCACATGAACGGTCATCTAAAACAGAGATGGTTTGTTTTTATAAATGAATTAATAAATTATCTATCAATATCTAGATTAGAAGTGTTCTACTTCAGTGTCATTTTTTGCTAGACTCTTTCAAAAATCTAAATTCCATAATAAGTGGGATACAAAAACCTAATCTAATTCACAATTACCTCTTTGTCTGGATTCCTCCCGATAAAATTCAAATTATCCTGACTACCACCGAAATTTTCAATGGTCAACTGAGAATCATCCAACGTCGTCGAATTCCGCCTGCTCCTCCTCCCAGCGAAACTGCTCTTCCTGTTGTCCTCCCAGTTGCTCGGTCTCCCAGCAGCCACTTCGCCCCTTTCGTCAGCTTTGCTGTCATTGTTTTGCTTTTCTTTGTTTACCTACAACAATCCCATTGGTACCAACATACATTTGCTGAAAAAATTCACTTACCTTGAGCTTTGCAGGAACTAAAGGATCCTCAGTGAGTACCGACCTCAAAGTAGGTATATTTCTAACTTTGTGCACTACAAACGACTCGTCCGAGCCTCGTCTCAAGCTGTCCTCGCTGAACTCAGAGGCAAGGGTTTGTTGACTTTGCTGAAGCGAATTCGATTTTCTTAAGGGGGCGTGAGGTGGAGTTTTCGAGACTAAATAAACAACACAAGTAAATTTCAGATTCTTGTTTGTGATTTTTAGCAAAACTCATGCACTTAGTGCAACTCCGTAGTTGATTTACTAAAAATGTTATCTACAATGAAGTTGTATAGAAAAGTTCTTCAGTGAGTGAGAAATGGAAAAAAAATCATTAGTGTGCCTGCTATTTACAAGCAGAAAAAGAAGAAATGGCATGCAACTACGCAAAATGAAACTAAGAAGCCTTTTATAATAAGTATACTACTTGCAATGTTAGCTTGGATAAGAGTCTTGTTAGTTGCTTAACTAAGGGCCAGTTCCATCTAAATTAAATTCAATTATAGTTAACCAGCAGTGATAATACTGGCCCTGAATTATTTAAAATTACCCAGGGTGAAGTGGTTTTACTTATACGTGCTTCAATCTACAAACGTGCTTTCAAAATTTGTTCGCTAGTAATATTTTAAACGCCAACATCACTTTGTCTTTACATTTTTAGTAAATATTTTCATTTTAGCAAGACATCAGAAGGAAATCAAAGTTGACCCAATTATCTCTTACATCCACTTTTCTTAAAAAACTCGGATTTTGAATTCTTCGCATACAAGTTATTAAAATTTTGTATACATATTATTTAACTTTGTGTCCAATTTTTGTTGAATAAAGCCTCATTTCCAAAGGTTCCTAAGCCGTTCTATCCTCAGGCAAAGTTTCCGCTTGCCCATCAAATCATTATGCCCCTGCAACATGGTTTTCTTTCCATTGAAACCAATGTCGTACCTCACCTGGATATTTAAAATGACAACACAACTGATGTTTCAACTAACTCATACAGACCTTATTTCAGTTAAATTTACCACCCTACATCGAAAATTACCTATGCCCGGTTTCCAAACCACAAGTTACCTTAACTGTTACATAAATTCATAGAGATAAATCGTGCAATAATAATAGATAACGTTTTTGAGGCTTTTCGCGGCCCAGGTTTATTGATATTGTTTTCATTCGGGCTCAATGGCCGTCGTAAAGTGGAATTTCTTCCTGACGTTTCGCTAGCACTCGTGGCTAACATCTTCAGAGGTGCTTCCATGTCTAATTCTGGTAGCAGACTGACGCGTTCTCGACCGTAAGTTGTCTTTATGTGTGAGTGGTTGTGGTGAAGGAAGGGCGGGGCTTCGCAGCACGTGGCTAATCTGAACTTTCTCTGTACTCAATGGGATCTTTCTTGCGTTTTTGAGGAGCGGGTTCCAAATTTGGTTAAGTTTTAGTGTTTCTTCTTTCCTGTTGGAGTTGTCCGTATGTTTGTGGATTTCTATAGCTTCACGTAAAAGACGATTGTGGTATCCGGAACTCGGTGCAAGAAGCTTCATCATTCCCTTCACTAAGCGCATGTTCGGCTACTGCCGATTTTCCGATTGTCCTAATCTGCAGTTTCTTTTGTGCTGGTTGATCCTGGTTCCCATGGATCTTTTTGTTGTTCTTATGCATACCTTACCACATCTGCGTGATATACGATAGACTTGCAGTGGGTTTCTTTTATCCTTGGCTGATCTGATTGATTGCTGTTTTTTTCTTGTTGGCTTGAAGATTGTCTTTATGTTGTGTTTCTTCAAGACTTTACTTATTCTGATGGCAATTAAGAACCTGAATTCAGCGGAAGTTATGATCATTCTACCTGCGGATAAGGGCAACGCAACTGTCCTGTTAAAAACTGAAGACTACAAACGGAAAATTCAGGAACTCCTTGATCCAAAGAAAGCCAAAGAAGGATCCCACCCAAGCCATCCTCCGGAACACCAACAAACTAATAGTTCTTCTACCCTAACAGACACGGTTAAGAAAGGCATCATAAAAACGGAAGCGGTTCCACCACGACCCTGAGGCCTACCCAAAAATTCACAAACCTAAAGTCCTGCTAAGACCCATAGTGAGTGTACCTGGAGCACCAACCTACAACCTAGCGAAACATCTTGCATCGCTTCTTCAACCGCATGTAGGAAAAACTAGATCTCACGTCAAAGACTCCACTCACTTCGTCCAGAAAATTAGAGATATTATTCTCCAACCTAAAGATATTCTGGTCAGTTTGATGTCGTGTCTCTATTCACAGAAGTGCCATTGACGGAATCTCTTGACTTGATATCAAGTACCTTTCCCAATGACATAGTTGAGCTTTTCCGGACATGTCTAACTGGTAGTTACTTCCTGTGGAACGGTGACTTCTACGAGCAAACGGACGGTATATGAGAACCAGGGGTGGGACTCTGTAACGAATAGAGATATTTTCTCTATCTCTATTGACGTTTCTTCTCTATTGATTTCGACAAAACAGAAGAAGACAGCAAGTGCCATAGCGATAGGGATAAGCATTTCTTTCCGTTACAGAGTTCCAGCCCAGGATCAACCAGCACAAAAAAAATTGCAGTAGCGGAACATGCGCTTAGTGAAGGGTATCACGAAATATTATTTGGTGACGTCAAGCTTTTTGCACCGACTTCCGGATACCACAATCGTCTTGTACGTGAAGCTACAGAAATCCACAAACATACCGACAACTTCAAAAGGAAAGAAGAAACACTAAAACTTAACCAAATTTGGAACCCGATCCTCAAGAACGCAAGAAAGATCCCATTGAGTACAGAGAAAGTTCAGATTAGCCACGTGCTGCGAAGCCCCGCCCCTCCTTCATCACAACCACTCACACATAAATACAACTTAAGGTCGAGAACGCGTCAGTCTGCTTGTCTGTTGCTGAAAACACTTTATCAATAATAATAGACTCATCTCTATCCGAGGGGTGAACGGCTGAGTAAAATCTGTACACCAGATATCCCCCTACTGAAGTACATTCCCGGACAACCTCAAGACATCCCTGAACATCCTAGGACATCCCCAGACTGTCGATAAAGAAAATTCAAGAGCCTAGAATAGAAAAAACATTAATGTCTTTTCATTTACCATTCTTTTCTCAATTTTTCTAAATTTCTTCTCAGCTTTTCGGTCTCAATTTTTGTCTATTTCCGGCTCTTGAAATTTCGTTTTCTTCTCTACGCTCTTGGAAAATACCACGATTTTTTCATTAGATATCCCCACATCTCCTGGGACATCCTCGGAAATTCGTTTGACATCCGTTGGAAATTCCCTGAACATCTTGCAAATCCCTGGACATTCCCCAAAATCCTAGGATATCCCTAGACATCCCCAGACATCCCCAGCGGTTCACCCCTTGTCTCTACCATAACTTTATGTATTACAAACTGGGCATTAGCGGCTTAATAAAACGATTTATATTACTAGAGAACAAAACACACTTGACACTAACAAAATATAATATACCCATGCTGAGGGGCGACTAAACTATGTGTAGCATAGGAGGATGTGTCCTAAAACACCGTGGATAGGAATAAGGAAATCCAAATCAATCACACGACATTTAAATGATGATTTTTCTAATAGCCTTTTCCATTTGTCGAAACAGTGCAAAAAAATGTATCCTTATCCTTAAATGTTACATGCTTTTAGAAAAAGATGCGGATACACTCAGTGCGCACTGATTTACAAATGGAAATCGCCAAAAGTTACCTTGAAAGGCGCCGGTGGCGGGGTCGTCCGAGCCACTGCGCAGGTCCGGTATCGGCACCATGACCGGCTGCAGCAGATTGCGCTTGTGCATGACACCGTGCGCGTTACGCGCCGGAAAGCCTTCTGCGCATAGACACACTTTTACGATATCTTTTATTTAACAGTGTTACACTAAGTTGATTTAAATAGATAATTTTGGGTGGTTGGTATTCAATATGCTTTGGAAAATTTACACAAAAGATGGTGGCACTGATAAGATACTTTGGAAGTAAATATTATTACCACAGAATAACAAACAATCAGAAGGAATACAGAAAGAGAAATACGATTTGCTTTTCTTTTCTATGACTTTGAAACAGGCTAACGGCGGAAATATCAGGGGCATACACTAGTAAAACCCTCGTCCGCCGACATTTAACCTCTAGAATACTGATAAAACTAACTAGTGACGCGCTACCCCGGAACATCTTTCCGCCATTACCCAAGGAGTGTGGTTTCTTCCGTAACCATCGGATCTCTCTTTCTGTTTTCATTCTGATTGTAGTGCTATTATTATGAAAATACAAGGGTTCCAGCCTAGAAGAAATTTCCTTAGATATAATCTGATTAATACATAAGAAGGTCTTTTGACAAGGCTCTGGACTATCAACAAGCGATATCATGTGAGGAGATCTTCACTGATTTTGAAACAGGAAATTCACTGTCTCATTCACCTGCATCGCTTGACAGCTGAAGAATCTCTGCTACTGACGATGAATGCAGCCTTCATTCAATTATTTTTTCATTTTACGAGAAATTAATGCTCGGGGCCAAAGCCAATCAAAGATTTTATTTTTATTCAAATTTTTACACAAAATAATATACAAAAATTGTAGCTTACCAACATAATACCACCACCACATTGTCCGTTTATATGTTTTAACCATCACCGTACAAACACCAACAAGCAAAAGAATACATACAAAAAAAAAGCTATACGCAACATAAAGCCCGATTGGTTAGTAGTAAAGGAAAATATCGCAGACACTTTATATACAAAATTATTAGGAGAAGTTGTAAAGTTTATTCCAGACCTTAAGGCCAAAACGTTCGGCTGTATTATAATGACCGCAACTTGCTCTACATCAAAAAATCTATAAGCAAGAATTTATCGTGGTGGTAGGTCCGGAATATGGGGTAATATGCAAATTTGTTCGCTATGGGCCGCAATAGTCCGAGTGTCCTCGTTTAGAGCAATTTGTATAGGGAAAATTGATAGAAATTAAAGACGTATGTACAGGATGGTCCAATTTGGACACTTTTGATTTTAAGCAAGATACAAAGAAATTAACCCCCCACTATCACGGAATAGTGAATAGTTTAAGAAATCATTACAGTCATCTTTGATTTACGGTTTTTTTTTAAAGACCCGTTATCTTGCTATATGCTGTCAAAATATATGGAACAACATGCTGTGGAATAACCCTGCACATATTAGTCCGGGAGGCAGTGAAATTTTTTAGCACTTATTTTCCCAGTTGGTGTATATCAAATAGTTTGTTCTCTTGGTGATACAAAACAAGAATATTTGAGTTTTGCAAAAATTTTCGGATGAGTTCACTAGATCAATGAAAAATACAAGTACACTTATTTTCCCAGTCATAAATATTTCACATCCACTACAATAGAACATAAAGTATATGAACATAGCAATTTGGCTTATCTCAGATAGTGGAAAGTTAGTCTGGCTGAAGTTTTTCGGATCTTCAATTTTTCACTTGCCAGACATATTATCCATACTCACAGATTAGCCGGAGTATTTTTTTACGTAACTTCAGTATACTTCTGATTAGTTGACTTAGTTTTATCACTGGAAAAAAAAAGGGCCATGCATTGGTAAGCTCTAACGCATTTTGCGCCTCAACCCATCGGAAAACCCCCCCTAAAAATCTATGAATTTTGCTTAGAATTACTAACCCTACAATTTTATCCATGTTTCGTGACTGGGAAAATAAGTACCGAAAATCGTCACTGCCTCCTAGACTATATTGATGAAATGGGCATTTTTTTGTGTCTATGGTTTCGTATCAAAATGACTTCAAATCTTCATGAAAGTTGTGAACAAAGTCTTGGACTATTGCTTTCCAGAACATCAGCCTGTAATGGTAAAGCTGGACTCATCAACCACTTAAGTATAGTAAAGTTACTTTTGGTATTCAAGCAAGATACTCTAAAATCGAATTCAGATGTTAATTGTCTTGATTGAACTGGATTTGCAATAGAACCTTTCGTTTTTGATGTTATATGGTGATCCAGTGGTCAATTTTTGATCTTGAAAGAACAATTAGATTATTTGATCTTGCAAGGGGATTTACATTGTACATACATTGAAATTGACAATACAAAAAGCCAAAAAGAGTCGTATTTTCACAAATACAATAGCAAAATAAACAGAAATTGGCTTATTACACTGAATACCAGAATGTGTTTTCATTGTGGGTACTTACCGCTGCTGAATTTATCCCGGACACAGCTAACAGGGTGGATTTCCATCACGTTGAACAGGTCCGCAAGGAAAACGATCAGATTAAGTTTCATAGATCTAAAAACGATAAAAAGAGTCAGTCTTGTAAATAGGGCTACTTCTAAAGTAATTGTAACGGTCTATTCGTGAAAAATGTGTCTCAGGGGGTTACTCTGATCTTGGTTTAGGATGTTTTTGTAAATAGAGCATACATGATCCTTACTGAAAATGGCTGTCAATACAAAGAAATTAGAAGCCAATAGTAAAAACGCAATTTCTCGAAATTCAATTTAGTAGCAGCATCTGTCTTCCTTTTTGAAGTTAGGAATTTCTATGACTGTCTCTGCTGATCAGATCTTAGTTATTCTTCTAGGAGAAATAGAAATCTGGTAATAGGTATAATAGTTCAAATTGGATGACTATCAGCTCTTGATTGGCTGGAAATTTTTTCTAGAGACAACATAAATCTGAATTTTGAACTGTTAACTACTATAATAACAGTCTGGATATGAATTGTGAAAAATCGTTCTAACATTTACATTACTCAGGGACTAAAAATATCTCACAATTTCAAAAACAAAAACCTAACTCAATAAGCACAATGCTAGTATGGAAATTAGAAAAAGAAACAAACAACCGAAAAAGGAAAACCAAGTGTAAACACTTTGCAGCTGCAAACATATTTTATTACACATTACCATAAAGGAGAAATTACATATTTTGTTTTATGGTAACTAAAATTAGATGTTAATGAGGCAGCGAAAATATGATGCCTGAGAAATAAATGTAGCTTATACTTACTCTCTTAAATACGTAATATCTTCAGGTTGAAGATGGAATATCGAAGCGGGCAAACATCGTTGGCAAAAATCCCTAACCAGCCTTAAATTATGCACGCTATCTTGCACAGACGGCACGGCAGATATTCGAATTTCGGCCCAATGAAGCTCATCGGGACAATAGTAAGCTACCAAAGTGGCCAAACCTACGCCGTCGCAAAGATCTTTCAGATCTTCGCACTGAGGAAAGTCAGGCGGTTTCAACCGATCCCCCTAGAAAAATTCAGCATTTAATGTTAAAATAATAAGATTTATTATAAATATCAATACCTCTCCTCCATTTTCCACAGTCACTCCAGAATCTTGTTCGATACGTTCTTTGAGCGCGTCGCAAGCATGCTGTATCCACAAGAGGGCGCCTTGTTCGTGACTAGATGATGCTTTAGGACTAGATGCTCGGCCGTGGTTGAAACGTTGCACCGCTGCTACCACACGGTCGCTAGTTACGACTTCTTTTGCGTATAGTAACATTATGGATTCGATAACTGCCATATGAGCGCTCTAATGGAAAAATGCAATTTTGAAAAACTAAAGTTAAGGTTATGTTGGGCTGGGGGTTTAGATTCGAAATTCATTGACTCAAAGCTTTTTATTGGCTGAAATCAAGATTAAGCAATTTACTTACCATACGCAAAGGATTGGTTTGTATGAGAGTGGTTTCAGTCAAATGAGACCCGTCCGAAGGTTCCGAAATGAAGGCGCTTTTGCGTGCCAACGTTTGCAAAATCGCCCAATGGTTGAGGTTGTGATAGTTCGGGTCCGAGTAGATGTTGGCCAAGGCGCGACAGTAGATTTCGGCGTTGGCCAGCGCCCCAGCGATCTGAGGTTTGAGGTGTTCTTGGTTCTGTAATAAAACATGCAATGTGAATATTGTCGATATGTAAATCCAATTTATTTTTTCCAAGTTGTATAAATAATTTCTATGTGGTAGGTTGCTGGACTTTTGTATCCAAAAACATACTTATAAAGTCTCTAGTTCATTTTATCGGCGATGCGGAAGCCACCTAGGAGGTTTTTATTTTCACCCAAGGAAGTGCAGAGGAAATACAAGAAGTTTATGGAATTCCAGGGAGAAAGTTGGAATAAAAAAATGTTTTTTTTTTTTATTCCAGGAAGTAAATTAGTCGGTGAAGATATCCAAAAGGAAGCCTTATATGGGAAGTTTGAAGAAAGCGTAAAAGGTAGCGGAATAATTAAGAAAGTCTAAAGAAGTTCGGAGAAAAGTATTTATCATATAATTGAGGAAGTTTCTATGGAAAATTTGGAAGGTAGTTCCGGCATGCTTTGTCTGATTTCTGTCAGATTGCTCTAAATCATAATTTAAAGCTATGATTTAAAGCAAAAATTGCAAATTCTAAAAAGTCGATACATAAAATCACCATTTTCATTTTTCCAGCTAGACTTATGCATAATTTTAAACATAGCGTCGCAAAGGGTCGGCGTAGAAGAAAATCATTCAATGAAATTGATGTTGATTTCTGGAAACTTTGATTCCAGTTTTATTTCAGAAATTGCATAAAAACTTCGACAAAGGTTTGCACTTCCTATAATCAGTTAAGGCGATGATAGTAACCTAAAATCAATTTTTCACTGTTTCAAATACAGGGTGTCCCACTAAGGTCGGCCAGGTACGATATTATGGAGACCATAAACCTTACGTAACTTGAAAACGAATGCAGATATTGAATTGCGGTTTGCGCCAAAATGTAGATATTTTTTTGCTCTTTAAGCACAGCAATACAAAAATAATATTATGCCATTTGGATTTTTCATGAAAATTAAAAAAACTGGATCTTGAATAAACAGCGCCCTCTAGAAGACGCGGTGGGAACTATCGACCTCGAACGAAGTGGTGTTCTCAATAACAATGAAATTCTCTTCCAAATAAACCCAAATTGAATGAGTTTGAATGAGGGGTATGGAAGATACAGCAATTTCTAAAAAAAAAAAAAATCACCAGCTTCCCCCACCCTTATTACTGAAGATACGAAAAAAAGCCTAATAACCAAACTGGCGCAAAAATTAATGAACTTTTGATTTCTGTTGTTAAAACAGTATCTTAAGATAGCGATTTCTTGAGAAAAGTTGAATTTTTAGCTATATCATCGTAATTGCGCCCCCTAGCGGTCATCCTAGAAACTTGAAAATAATTTCCATCAATTTCTCTTGGCCGATTTAGTGAAGAAAAAAAAAATCTCGAAGCCGTAAGGTCTATGGTTTCCATAATATCGTACCTGGCCGACCTTAGTGGGACACCTGGTATGAAGTCATTACTCATTATCAGGATAATGAATGAACACTAATATTGCAACTGCAGAATACGAATACGAAATTATAGCATTGACCGAAACATGACTAGATGACAAAACCTTTACACCAGAAATAGTACGGGGGTTTTACAATGTAATCAGGGTTGACAGAAACAAACAGAAAAACGGGGAAGAAACGAGGAGGTGGTTTAATGCTACTTATCAGAAATTGCCAGTATATAGAATTTAAGGAGAGAACCATACACTGCAATGTTCGAGATCTAGAAATTCTACTGTGTGACATTGTTGTGCATGGAGTAATGTTCACAATCTGTGTATTTTAGATACCGCCTGGAAAGGCTACAGCAGTGTATGAGGATATTCTTGAAATGTTTGAAGATAAAATCATATCAACGGATTTCAATAGGAACTGTATAATAATTGGTGACGTATTAGTCTCAAATGTAAGTTGTAAAGTATAGAAGTCAGAGAAACTTCTTGTAAAGGTTGATGAACATCATAATCCACTGCTGGTCGTAGCAGACCTACAGATAATACAAAACAAAATCAAACTTGGAGATAATGCACAATATAATTTCAAAAAAGCAAATCTCCCAATGATGCATCAACTTTTGCTGGAGGTGGATTGGAATATTCTTTATCGGTGTTGTAAAGCAGATGAGGCTATATCTTTTTTTATATGGTAGGATTTATAAAATATTTGATATGACTGTTCCTAAGGGTCAATAAATATTCACCATGGTTCAACAGGAAGATAATCATATATTATATCACAAGACCTTCAAATTTAATATATCTATCAACTTAGCGAGACAACTTCGAAAAATCGATTTTCCATTATGCCAAGAATTTGCCGCTTTTTTGCCGCTAATTAAATGTGGAATTAAAAAATTTGCCGCTCTTTTGGTTTTTTCTTAATTACGTGTTTTGCTAACTTGACGTCAAGATAGCGAGACAACATCACTAAATATGTCAGCACTAAAAAACTAGGCACGTGAAAATTTGCCGTTTTTTTGCCGCTAATTAGTTGTGAAAATCAAAAATTTGCCGGTTTTTTTTTTCGTAAAAAATAAAGTTTGAAAAAAAAAATCATTTGTTTCGCTAACTTGACGTCAAGTTATCGAGACATTATCACCAAAAATGTCAGTAGTGAAAAAAATGAGTGAATGGAAATTTGCCGTTTTTTTGCCGCTAATTAGTTGTGAAAACCAAAAATTTTCCGCTTTTTTTTTAGAAAAAAATCAAGTTTGAAAAAAAAAATCATGTGTTTCGCTAACTTGACTTCAAGTTAGCGAGACAATATCACTAAAAATTTCGGTAGTGATGAGTTGAGTGAATGGAAATTTGCCTTTTTTTGCCGCTAATTAGATGTGAAAACTAAAAATTTGCCGCTACCTTTCTTTTCATAAGAAAATCGTGTTCGAAAATAAAATAGTGTTAGCGAGATCACTAAAAATGTCGGTAGTGATAAATTGAGTGAGTGGAAATTAGCCGCTAATTAGCTCTTTTTCTACAAGAAAATATCGCGTTTGAAAAAAATATCATGTATTTCGCTAACTTGACATCAAAGTAGCAAAACAGTATCAATAAAAATGTCGGTAGAAAATTTCATTCATCTGTCAAAACTGGTATTCGAACCATAAACTGGGCTCTGTGTCATTTGCGCGAGGGAGAAAAGCGCGATACTAAAAGCGCGAGGGACAAAAGCGCGACGGAACAAAAACACGACTGTATAAAAGCGCGAGAAATAAAGGCGCGAGCGAGAAAAGCGCGAGAAACAAAAACGCGAGGGACAAAAACACGACGGAACAAAAACGCGAGGGACAAAAGCGCGACGGAACAAAAACGCGACTGGAGTAAAGCACGATTGGACAACAACGCGAGGTATCTAACTATCAACGAGGACTGTAAGCAAAAGAGGGACACATCAAATTGTATCAATAATAATCAGAAAAATGCAACCTTACTCAAACTAACCCATACTAACCCGTTCGCCTAGTGCGATCTAGTCTTCGTTAAATAGAATTTCATTTGAAAAACAAGGCACGGTAAAGGGACCCTACGCTATAAATAAATTGACTGTTTTTTTGGATAAAATGCTAACTTACGAGTACTAGATCGCAGTGATCGCACTAGGCGGACGGGTTATTTTGGGTTAGTTTGAGCAAGTCTGTATTTGCTTTATTATTATTGGTTCAAATTGATGTCGCAATACAGACTTACTCAAACTAACCCAAGCATTTATTTAAAAAAACAAAGTTAATTCACTGATTGCTCAGGGTCTCTTGAGAGCGCAGTGTTTTTTAAATAAAATGCTAACTCACGAGGACGAGATTGCCCTAGACGGACGGGTTAGTTTGGGTTAGTTTGAGTAAGTCTACATAATTTTGATATTGGAATAATTTGATGTTTCCCTCTTTTGCTTAGAGGTAGTCGTTGTAAATGTCGCTCTTTTAATTTGTCACTGTTCTAAATCTCGTTCTTTACATATGTCGCTCTTTTGATATGTTGTTGTTTTTTTTAGATGTCGCTATTTTGAATATCGCTGTTCCAAATGTCGCTATTTTGATATATCGCTTTAACAATATGTCGCCTTTTTGATGTTGCTATTTTAAATATCGTTCTTTTGAACCGGAGCCACCGAAAATATCTTGTATTTTGGAAAACGATCTTCAGTTCTCGTAGTAAGGCACTTAGCGTTCTTGGCCAATCGCGCTTTATCCAGTCGCGTTTTTGTTCTGTCGCGCTTTTGTCCCCTCGCGCTTTTGCTTCTAGCGCTTTTATCCAGTCGCGGTTTTGCGCAGTCGTGCGCTTTTGTCCCTCGCGCTTTTGTTCCTCGCGCTTCTATCCAGTCGCGTTTTTGTCCATCGCGCATTTGTCCTGTCGCGTTTTTGTTCCGTCGTGATTTTGTCCCTCGCGCTTTTCGTATCGCGCTTTCCTCCCTCGCGCAAACGGTTGTCGCGCAAATGACACAGATTCCATGCATAAACTGGCATTTTTTAATTGTTGATTTCAACCAATCAGATTACGATTACGTGATAATTTGTACTAGTGTAGGATTATCGGATTGGACAATTGCTTACTAACGGGTGGCATTTGACATTTTTTCTGATTGGTGACATTTTATACTTACGAGGATATACTAAAAATTTAAATTTTGGATTCATGAAATTCTCGCATAAAATACAACTCGAGCAATGGAAATATATCTATAATTTTTGAGAAATTTGCTCTCACGCATTTTTAACTGGAAAAGGAACTCGTCCCTCGTGCTTTTTTTCAACTAAAAATGCATTCGGGAAAATTTGCCAAAAATTATCGATAATTTCCATTTTATCCCAATTTAATTTTATTTCTAATTCTATTTTATTTTCTGTATAAATGAGCACACGATATTTCGCTTTCTGATTTTTGAAACCTATAAGGCCTCCAATAGAGTTTTCCTAAGCTAAAGAAAAAAAAAACTGAAAAACTATTCTCAAAAAATTTAGAAATAAATATTTGTTCCAACAAATGTTGAGTTTCACTAACTAAAATATACTTACAGGGTGCATAAAAATCAAGGGTGGGAGAT